CATAAAACTTCATAGTATAGTAAGGCATAAAATTGTCAAGAACATCATATTAAGTATGGCATAAAATCGTCAAAAAACGTCATAGTATAGTATGGCATAAAATTGTCAAAAAACGTCGTAGTATATTATCTCATAAAATTGTCAAAAAACGTCATAGTATAGTATGGCATAAAACGTCATAGTATATTAAGGCATAAAATTGTCAAAAAACGTCGTATTAAGTGTAGCATAAAATTGTCAAAAAAAGTCATAGTATAGTATGGCATAAAATTGTCAAAAAACATCATAGTATAGTAAGGCATAAAACGTCATAGTATATTAAGGCATAAAATTGTCAAAAAACGTCATAGTATAGTATGGCATAAAATCATCAAAAAACGTCATAGTATAGTATTGCATAAAACGTCATAGTATATTAAGGCATAAAATTGTCAAAAAACGTCATAGTATAGTATGGCATAAAATCGTCAAAAAACGTCATAGCATAGTATAGCATAAAAGGTCATAGTATAGTAAGGCATAAAATTGTCAAAAAAACGTAATATTAAGTGTAGCATAAAATTGTCAAAAAACGTCATAGTATAGTATGGCATAAAACGTCATAGTATATTAAGGCATAAAATTGTCAAAAAATTTCGTAGTATATTATCTCATAAAATTGTCAAAAAACGTCATAGTATAGTATGGCATAAAATTGTCAAAAAACGTCGTAGTATATTATCTCATAAAATTGTCAAAAAACGTCATAGTATAGTATTGCATAAAACGTCATAGTATATTAAGGCATAAAATTGTCAAAAAACGTCATAGTATAGTATGGCATAAAATCGTCAAAAAACGTCATAGGATAGTATAGCATAAAACGTCATAGTATAGTAAGGCATAAAATTGTCAAAAAACGTCATATTAAGTGTAGCATAAAATTGTCAAAAAACGTCATAGTATAGTATGGCATAAAATTGTCAAAAAACGTCATAGTATAGTATGGCATAAAACGTCATAGTATAACAAGCCATAAAATTGTCAAAAAACGTCATATTAAGTATAGCATAAAATCGTCAAAAAACATCATAGTATAGTATGGCAAAAAATTGTCAAAAAACATCATAGTATATTCTCTCATAAAATTGTCAAAAAACATCATAGTATTTTATCTCAAAAAATTGTCAAAAAACGTCATAGTATAGTATGGCATAAAACGTCATAGTATAGTAAGGCATCGAATCATCAAAAAACGTCATAGTATAGTATGGCATAAAATTGTCAAAAAACGTCGTAGTATATTATCTCATAAAATTGTGAAAAAACGTCATAGTATATTATGGCATAAAACTTCATAGTATAGTAAGGTATAAAATTGTCAAAAAACGTCATATTAAGTATAGCATAAAATCGTCAAAAAACATCATAGTATAGTATGGCATAAAACATCATAGTATAGTATGGCATAAATGTCAAAAAATGACATAGTATCGTATGGATTAAAACATCATAGTATAATAAGGCATGAAGTTGTAAAAAAACGTCATAATATAGTATGGCAGAAAACGTCATTGTATAGAATGGATTAAAACGTCATAATATAATAAGGCATAAAAACGTCAAAAAACGTCATAGTATAGTACGGCTTAAAATTATCATAAAACCTCATAGTATACTATGATATAAAACGTCAACAAACGTCATAGTATAGTATGGCATCAGAAAGTCATAGAATTTGCAAATATATTTCTTGTTCGTTATTTTTTGTGGAAGGTGTTTTTTATTTACAGATTACAAATTTACTTGTGGATTGTTGATGTGTTAACACAAATAATATTGAAACAAATTTACTTCTATAAACATGTCATAAACTCAAACTTCTTCATCCGTTTTTAATTTCATCATGCCTGTTAAATGCAGATTAAGTGAACTGTATGTTGGTATTTAATCTCTCTACTGTGTGGGCATTGGGACAGATCTAGGCTAAAGTAAAGGTAACTCACAAATTGTAAGGAAACTGTGTTCAGCACTTAATGACACTTACGGTTGATACCTGGACCATCTGTGGGGAAAATAGGATTACCGCCATCATCTGTTGTATAGTCTGAAAGAGAGTTTTACAAGGAGTTGTTAGTCAGTTTCTTGGCATATCCCAGTTGAAATCTTTTCTACTACATTTTATTATTTCCTCAGAGCTTTGGAAATCAGAAGGAAAGCTGCAGAAATGAACCCACCACCTTTTGTATTTCATCAAAATATAAAACTTTTCCTTACACTGGCGGTGACGGCACGCAAAACCTCTCTTCTGCAGGCAGTTGTTGTCATTCCAGCGTCCATCACCATACATCTCCACACAGTTCTCCTCGGCCACATCCCCAGGGTGAAAGGCTGAATTGGGCTCACCAGGAGCCCAGTTCAGGAAGCCCAGAGACGTCCTATCTGTCCAGCCCCATCCAACTGAAAACATAACATATAAAGGTTCCAGCATGTGTGTGTAATTCCACCTCAAAGCTGTTTTCAAGTCACTGTCCATGAAACAACATCGGAATCATTGTTCTACACTCACAGTTGCGGTCCCTGGTGAGTCCGATCCAGACGTTGTGACGTTTAGTGTAGTTGAGGTTCCTGATGAACTCCACCTCTGCTCTGCTGTGGATGGACACCAGCTCTGCCCTGATCGACTGACAGTAGTGTCGAGAGTCCGGCCAGGAGAAGCCCTGCTGCTCGTTGTACACATAGTAACAGTAGCGACCATATGGGACCCAGAAAGGCAGACACTTCCCATCACCAGGGGCAGGAGTTGGCGGCGGTTTTTCTGTGAAAAGATAAAAGTTATATGATCAACAGTGCTGCAAGCTTTAGACTGTAAATTAAGCTTTTTTTTCTCAAACATAATGGATCATTATGGGTCTAAAACAAAGACTAGAGAAAACTATTCAGGAGGAAAAGGGAGGAAAAAGCAGTGTTCAGTTCAGTTGAGTTGTACCTGAGGAGATCTTGCAGATGTAGGGTTTTGCCTGGTCACACTTGGTGTCGTTCCAAGTCCCGTGGAACACACGAGACGCATGCATACTCACGCAACCCTCATCCTTGATGTTGCTCGGCTCTCCTGGTCCCCACTGAGTGAAAAAAATCGGCCAGCCATCTGTCCACATGTAGGAGCCGTCATCCTGCATTGCAAGACAATATAAGCTTGGACAGGTTCGCAAAATTCCTATTCCTATGAATTTCCCCTATGAAGTCTATCCTTACTAATAGTTTTGGTTGAATTAGCTACACCATTCCTCTGCAGGATTTCAGCCTCCAACCCAAAACAAAGGAGGTGAATGTTGTGTCATTTGTGATACTTGCAGCACAAAGAAATTCTTCTGTACAACACTTCTGTGTTATTTTCTTTTTGTGGTTATAAATAAAGTTGTTTTTGTTTTTTTGAAGAAAAAAATCCTAGTGTAAATGCAGTCATATTCTCTCCTCTTGTCTTTCTAAGTCCTTACAAATTCTCATTAACATTTTTCCTTCAAGGAGAAGTGGTTAGGAAAAGAATTTTTTTTTTACTTTTCGACCACAGCCCTTGTCACATGGGTAATTTTTCCAGGGTACGAGTATAGTTACTTTTCATACTGAGTATATTTTGCTGATAATGCTACTATACTTTACTTAAGTAGGATTTTCACACTAGGACTTCTTCTGGCAATAGAGTATTTTATTGGTACTTTTACTGACGGTGGGTTGTTTGGTTTGACATAAAATTTGAAATAAATAACAAGAAATTCTAGGGTTGTTTTTAACTTTAATTGTTCTTATACAAGATAAATATTAAGTTTAAGTTTCCAGGGACTTTAATGTCTTTTTTTAATTTGTAGGTAGTTCATGTTGACTGTTGTGCATTTTCCCCTGATGGCACCTTGCGCTTGAGTCCGATCCAGGCGTCAGCTTTGCCCTGCAGCACCACTCCTGCGACGAAGGCCTGGTCGTAGCTCATGTCGATGCTGGCCAGGTTGCCTCCCTGCTGGCTGCAGGCCGTTTGAGCTGCGTCCCAGGTCGCCGGCTCCTCCACCAGCTTGTAGCAGTTCTGGTACCAGGAGATGTAGTCAGCTGGGCAGGGGCTCTTGGTTGGGGGTGGAGGGTTGATGCTGCTCGCTGATGTGGAGGCAGATGAAGAAATATAATAAACTCAGGCCTGAACATGGATTTAACTTTGTTTGAAATGTTTTCTGTAATTTCTGTTTACTGACATTTCTTCCTGTAGCAGACGAAGCTATGATCCTTGTGACAGGCGTCATCGTTCCACTTGCCACTCACCAGTGGGCTGTGAGTCATTGCCACACAGTGTTCCTGTTGAGCATGACAAGAAAGCTTAAAGGTAACTGTTAACGTGTCCTTTTCAAGTGCAGTGTGTAATTTTTAGTCCTGCCTGAGATTCACAATATTTCCCATATGCTTTACTCTTCTTATCATTAAAAAAACTCCTCACCGCTCCTCCTGCATTGTTGGGCTCCTTGTCATTCCAGTTGGTGTACAGCACTGGGCTGACCCCGTCACTCCAGGCATACTGATTCTCAACCAAGAGATCTGACAGACCGATCCACGTGGGGAGCTCCAGGTCCCTCAGGTAACTGGACACAAAGTCTAGAGAAGAGGATCAAAATACTCTGAACTGGAGCCACAGGACTGATGAATTCTTCTATATGGTAGTTATCTGCTGAGCTTACCATTCTCATATTGGTCATCGATAACTGCCAACTCTCCCCCCTGCTCTTTGCACCAAGTCCGAGCGTAAGACCAGTTGGCTTTAATATCATTTTTCTTCCCTTTGAACATGAAGCACTTATCCTTGAAACGCATCCAGCCTGCAGCGAAGGAAGGAAAAAAGGAAGTTAAATAGGTTGCATTATATTTCAAGGATGTTCACAGGTGACACTTAAAAGCCATAGTACAGGTACAGCTTGGCTCCTGTACACATGCATTTGTGCATGTGAAATAAATACCATGAGCAAAGAGGGTGAGGTGGGACAGGCTGCTCATGTTCATCTTGATATCAGGTCATGACTAAGGGTTGGACAATAAGGGTAAAAGCCTCTATTACGGTATATGTTATTGCAATTAATAAAGAGTTAACAGAGACATTAACCAGACACAGATGTCATGTTTTTTGTTAATTCAGTACCTTACAAATCAAGACACTTCACCACATCGGTGCAAAAAAACATAAAAATCCACAAAGCAAAGTAGCCACAAAACAGTTCTGATTCCTGATTTGTGCATTGCCAGCAAAGTCTAATACAACTAGAGCTATTAAAGAAATAGTTATCTTGGTATAAATGGTCTGGAAGAATCTCTGTTGACAAATTCAACGTTAATGAAACAGGAATAAATTGTACACTTATTGGGGATTACACATCTATCAACATATAACCCACATGTTTTAATGAATAAAGAATTCTTGATGTTTTATATTTATATGTAAAATGTGTATTTTACCTGCAGGGCAGTTGCCCTCCCAGGGCTGTGTGGGTGGAGGAGGGGTGTGGACATCTCCAGGGGACTTCTTGCAAACGTAACCTGCTCCAGCCCTGCCACAGTTGGCATCGTTCCATCCACCTTAACAAACCAGAGTTCAGAGTAAATATCACCAGCAGGGGAGTGTGCTCAGTAAACATGCACAGTAAATAACCAGATCTATACGGCCTTAATTGTCCAGTGAGTGGAGTTTCGGTACCTTGATGTCTGTTCATCTGAACACACTGTTCCTCGCCATTGGCATTGTTGGGCTCACCTGGCCCCCAGTGAGTGTATGTCACGGGGGAAAGGTCCACCCACCTGTGCAAATAAAACAGAGAAATCACAAAAGGAAAATCATCTCTGAAGCAGAACTTACAGTGTGGTATTCACATAATTTTACTTTTTAACTTTACTTAGAAGAGGTGACACATTTGTAAACTGATGACGACTTAGACTTAAATGTGAGATGTTTCATCCATATCAGTTCGATCTGAATACAGATTTTCCAGCTATGAATTGAAAAATGTCCTCACATCCCTGTAAATTCAAGTGTCCTAGCGCCTGTTTCATTATTCACTCTCTATTGAGCAGCTGCAGGATTTGTCTCTAATGACATCCACGACACAGTTGGGTCATTCTGCTGCTCAGATTAAGGAAAGACAGGTTCAAATTAGGAAAAACTGAACTGTGCAATATAATAAAAAATAATGTGAATTCTAAATTTGGAGAGATTTTCCTTTCATTTTCACTTCAACTGAATTCCAATAACTTAGGATATTACTTAGGAATATACACACATGTATTGTCCACTAGCAATGCCAAACATCCTCATTCCGATCCAGGCTGCAGAAACCTGCCCTGTCCCCACCTGCAAGAAAATACAAATATATTTTACTTTTACTTACAACATATTTTACTCTTTATTCCCTCTGAAGAAATTAAAAATAAATAAATAAAAGGCATACCATGGTGTTTACATATGCCTGTTCATCTTTGTTGAGGATGGAGACGAGTGTGGCCTTCTCAGCGTAGCAGCGCTTCACAGCTATGTGGAAGTCCACGATGTCCGTGTCGTTGTAGTAGTAACAGACGTTGTTGTTCTTCCTCCAGCCAACGTTGGTTCCGCAGTCGGGAGCTGAGGGTTGACACATGAGATTACACACATGGTGATGTTGTGATTGGCTCACAATTTCATGCTTCTCTCTCACTCAGGTGTGCGAGTAACTTGGAAGTAAAGCTGCTACTAATAGTTGATTAATGGATTAGTTGATTGATAGGAGAGGATTTGCTGCTGTTCTTTTTTTATATGATTGTAAAAAATTCACGAGACTTCACATTTTAAAATGTCCAAGATTTTATGCAAGTTTCCTTCAGAAATCTCTGCTACCTCAGTTCTAAATTCAAGTTCAAAATAGCTCAGGTTCATTAGAATAACAAAAACATGACTTGTCTTGTGGACAAGGACAGGTGCATTGTGGGGGCACTTTACCAGGGATAGGAGGTGGGGGCAATGGGGGCACAATGGGGTCCTTTCCTTTAGCGATCATGCATATCCAGTCCTGGTGAGCGTCACAGTTGAGATCGTTCCACCAGGAGTAGGTCCCGTTGGTGCTGCTCACCATCTCTACACACTCCTCACGGCCCTCATGGTTGTTCGGTTCCCCGGGACCCCAGTTGGTGTGGGACAGAGGTGTTCCGTCACTCCAAGAGTAACCTGGGACATTGGAATAATCATCAAGTCTTTTTGTGTATTCATTTATTTATTTAAATTCCAATTAGCTTCCACCAGGGTTCACTCTATAAAACACACCTCCCTCTGTGGGGTTATGCTTGAGGCCAATCCACTTGCTGCTGGCTTTGCTGTACAGAGACAGGAACTCTTCCTCCTCCTGATTGTGGATGCTGACCAGGTTTGCTCCTCTGGCAACACAGTCCTCATTTGCTGCTCCCCAGCTCTTCTTCATGGACCAGTCCACGTTGTGGAAGAGCTGCAATAAATCAGGCAATGAATCAGTAGTGGAAAACAGACCACCGACCTAATGGACCCTGCAGAGACTCATGGTTTTAAATGTTTAATTCACTGCCTTACGTACCTTGTAGCAATTCCTGAAGTGAGGCAGGGCCGTCCAGCTATCAGCACAGCCATGTGCAGGAGGAGGAGTTGGGGGTTTTGTGGGCGGGGTGATGTCAGGCCTGTATTTCTCACAGATGAAGGCGTATTTCTCTGAGCACTGCTTGTCATCCCAGAAACCACCAACCTGACCCGTTGTCATAGCCACACAAGTACCATCCCCGCTATCTGGAGACAAAAAGACGATCAGTGTTTTCTCGGATGTGTATATATTGTCCTGTCCTGTCGGGCTTGGTGTTAGGTGTGTACCTGGCTGGTCTCTGTCCCAGTGAGTGAAGCTGAGAGGTGAGCCGTTGTCCCAGATGTAGTCCACCCCTCCAGTTATCCCTCCGTGAGCACGCAGGCCAATCCACCACAAACCAGTCTTTCCTGCCAACGCCACTGCAAAATGTGCCTGCTCATAACTGCAGCGAAACACAGAGGAGACAGTTTACTGGAAATCTGTCTGTGTGTAGTAGAAATCTCTACAGATGATTTTTCATCTCTCATAAGTGAATCAAAATCTCTACTCAACCAGATTGTTACATTATGATCCCAGAATCTTTAAGATGATGAATCTGCCACTGCCATGAACTCATGCTGTCTTTTTTTCATGTTACAGTTCAGATATACGACAAACAGTTTCCAGTCTGAAGGGAACCGTCACAGTAACATTCAATTCCTTCATATTTCATGTTGCACACACAAGTGCAATAGTAAAGGTCATAGCACCTTGCCAAAGGATGTTAGAAATACTACTGTGCCCCTGCAAATAATGTGTTAGGCTTCGTAAAGTAGAACATACAGTGACTTCAGAAAGTATTCAGACCCCTTCACTTCTTACACACATTATTGTGTTTTAGATTTGATTTCAAGTTCAAGACAAATCTCAAGGACAATTGAAGCAAACAGTTATGTCCCAGACCGCAGTCTGTGAGTGCCACAGCAAAGGGTCAGAACACTTTAGTAAATGAGAGTCTCGGTTTTATCCATTTAAAATTAAATATACAAATTAATGAAATGTGAAAAAAGTGAATGGGTCTGAATATTGTCTGAACCCACTGTAAATAACAAGAAAGTTTTTTTGTATATACTTCTATATACTTCTACTGCTACACTTGGATTAACAGAGAGGCACATATAGTATGCACTCTGGAATCAGGATATGGAATATGTAGAGTGGAGTTATTTGCACTGATAGGGATTTCTTGCTGATACACATCTCTGCTATTTGAATAACTTGACTTACATGTCTCCAATGTGCAGCAGGAAGCCGTCCTGCTCTTTGCAGAAGGCCTTAGCATCAGACCAGCTCCGGGCAGTCTCCTCCATTAAGTAGCAGGAGTATCCGTATGCATCCCATCCCTGACACGATGTGGAGACATGAGCCATACACACAACATGCACTGTAGCTCTCTCTAAATAAACATTAAGACTTTTGTAAATCAGACTATGCTTAAAAAGAAAACAGGAATATAAAACATGTGGTACCTGAGGACATCCGTATACAGTGGGTTTTACAGAGGGTAGTGGGTAATGTGCTTTGGGCGCTTTGCATATGTAGGTATTAAGCTCTGTGCAGGACACGTCGTTCCATCGGCCAGTCTGGAACAAAGATGAAATCAACCTATAAATGATTAAATTCACTGCAAAGAATTAGTAATGTGTGTGTTTGATTTTCTTTTTCATTAAGTGTACATTTAGGGTGAGTTTTAGCAAATGCACCTGAAGTGTAGAATGTATTTTACTGGTGTTTAAGACTATTTGTCATCAGTTTCACCTGGTGTAACATCTCAACACAGTCTTCATTGAACCCATCGTGGTTGTTGGGTTCCCCTGGAGCCCAGTAGGTGAAGGTCACCATGTTTTCATCAGACCAGGAGAACATGCCAGGCACGAAGAGGTCATTCAGACCAGTCCACACGTCAGTGGTGGCTGTAAAGGACAAGCCCCCCCAAAAAACTTGAATCAATTCATACAGTATATGCCATCAGGAATGCAGTAATCAACTGACTGATTTTAAGTATTTCCTAAACCTTTACTTCTCCTCCTTACTGCTTTCTTTCATTTTTCTAGATCCATACCCAGGTACAAGTAGCTTTCCAGCCAGCTCTGCTCCGTCATCGAGAGGATGGACATGAGTTCAGCACCCTCACTCCTGCAGCTGTCCTGGGCATCGCGCCACGTCTTTCTGTCTCCAAAAGGTTTGTAGCAGAACTCTCCAAACTCAAACCAGTCAGGCCCTGAACACCTCAGCTCTGCAGGAGAGGGGGAAAGGAAAAACAGTGAGAGTAAGACAAAAAAAGCTCACATTTCATTTAAAAAATGGCGTCTGCTTAGAGAAAAGAGATTCATTTAAAGGATTATAAATGCATGTCAACTCACCCCCATCAGCAAAAGCATATGATACAGCATAGTTTCCATCGAATCTGTAGAAATGAATGAATTGTTATTAAATTGAGCACAATACACAAGAAAAAATTAATTAAGAAAAGTCCTACTTACTGTCTCGAGGTGATGCCATTCCTGCTAGAGCCAGCATAGAAGTCCTGTCCTGGAGCTTTCAACAAAGTGCAGTCTCCTCCAATGTCATTTAGTATCACTCCAGCATGGATAGCTGCTGCACAGATGTTTGAGTCCTGTTACAAAGAATCATGTGTTAGATTCTAAATTAGCACTGTGCAGTGTGTGTTGTGATATTGATTAAACAGAAAAATCACAGTAAACCTACCCCACGATATACCGAAGTGCCATACACTTTGTAATTAGCGTTGGCACAGCCTGCTGGACAGTGGACACTGAAAGACACATGAGAATCATAGCATCAGACTGTGTAATGGATGGAAATATCACAAAAATATAATTATCACACAAACCAGATGATATAGATGTAACATATAATAAACAGTACATCACTATATGTAAAAATATGATTCCAGCTTTTACTCACGTCATTCGATCATTGGCAAAGTTGAAGTTGGGCTTGTTAGCGCACGTTATCGCATCTGTTGAACCACAATGTTTCATTATGGACCATCAGTGTTTATATGTGAAAGCACAGGACAGTATCACAGCAGATTTTGCCCAATGATAAAATACACTTTTTTGGAGTTTGGAAGTAACACCAGTTTCCTTACAGTCAGGGGTGCATCCTAAGATATCAAAGCGAAGGCCTGCCTGACCACTGAACTCCAGCGGGAGGATGCGGATGTACTGAGCTGACACAGGCGTACCCAGCAGCTGGGTTTCAGGAGTGTTCCTGTCTGTTGAACCTGGGAAAAACTGGAAATCAGGGAAATCCAGAATGACAGCCTGTTAACGTCTCTCACAGTTTGCCTTTGACAGGTATTTCAACTTGAGCACTTGGCGATATTCAGGGTCAATGTTAACAGTAGTCTCTTACTCACTTGACCATCAGCTGTGTAATCAGTCCAGGTTGTTCCGTCCAAACTGTGCTGGATCTTAAACTTAGTGACCCAGTGGTCGTTTTGAGGACAACCCTGGATTACTATCCCTGTTACCTTTCTGGTCTGGCCCAGGTTCACTTGGATCCAGCTCGAGGTTGCTGGAAGAGGAGAGATTAGATATAGTATAAGGTTAATGTGAAGACACCAGTTCAGCACATTTTTTGACATAACAGAACTTCAGCTTCAAATAAAGATGGAGGTATTTTTGCCAAAAATTGGAACTCTGTGTTCACCATTAATTATGGATTAAGATATTATTTTGTACGTGTGACCGCTGGGTTGGTACGTACAGCTTCCTGAAGGCATCCAGCAGGAATTCCCATTCAAACGGGCTTTGTCCGGAGTGAATGAACCAATGGAGGAGGAAGCGGAGAGCTGGGAGTTTGTGATGTTTCCATCCTCGACACCCAGGCCATGCAGACACACTGAAAGCAGCCATATCACAAAACATTAGATGACTTCACCAGTTTCAGAGATCTTTAGGAGAAGAACAAGAATAAAAGAGCCTACCTTTTTGTTCACAGCTGTAGACGATCTCGAGATATTTGGAAACAGTAGGACAGGGGTCTACGTCGGTATGGGCATACGCAAAGCAATAGGGTCGGTTGTCACACGCCTTTCTATAGTAAGGAAGGATACCTTCCACTGTGCAGCTTCCTACAGGACAGTGATGATCTTTTAGTCAAGCATACAACAATATACATCATACTTATTATTTAAAGGCAATGATACACACTGACAGGTGGTTGCAGATGAAGATTAAAAGAAGCATTTTAATTATTTATTTTTTTGCCAAGAAATACAACAGTTTCTCCATTTGAGTCCCCTAATGTACAGCACCTCCTCCTGATCCATCCAGGTGTGGACAGATGTCATCACTCTTTCGTCCGTAGAAAGCAGACTGGATGTTAATTACACTTTCATGTGGACAGTGAAGGACAGCGGAGGAATCCTGGCACACCAGCGCCGTCATGAAACCTGCAGCAAAAAGTATTTGACAGTGAAATGAATCTATGCTTTAAGTCATCTGTAGATACTTGCAGTGAAAATATAACTGATCATAACATATATACTGTAATTGTGGCTTCAAAGTGAGGTTTCTTTACCATCATGAGGTGGAGGAGGCTCAGGGGTGTTTCCTGAAAGAGGAAACATGAGTATGATGTTACCAACATGTGTCAATACTATTGCCTTCATTTTCAATTTGTAAGTGTCAACAACATCAACTCCAGCAGCATGTCTCACCTCTCCGCTCACAGATGTATCCTCTTTTGTACTCACAGTTGTCGTCATTCCAGTAGCCACCGTTAATATATATAGACAGGCAGTCTTCACCATAATAGTTGTCTGGGTTACCTGTGAAGAAAGACGAGGCCATTGTTTTGCAAGATAATAATCCTCATGTATGTAATTTTTCTGGATACATTCTCACAGATATCATGCAGAATATATTTGGGTTTATATTAACCTGCACTCCAGCGAATGTATCTGAAAGGAGAGCCATCTGTCCACTCCCAGCCGCCTTCAGTGACGGAGTCATGACCGCCCATCCACAGAGAGATCCCTGTGGGACTCGCCTGGATCACACCTAGGAGGAATCGACAAAACACAAATTAAAGGGAATCAAGTTTATTAACAGACTTTAAAAAAAACAAAAAACAAAAGATAACATAACACACACATACTAGACTTTATGTCTTAAAGGGTAACTGAACACCAGGCTGAAAAGCAGTGTTTCATTGTCGGGTTGAAAGTTTCAAGCCTGTTTCAGCTTTTGGGTGTGGTCAGACACAGTGTCCTGGAGTATACCTGTACAGTATATCACTGGAGCAAGGTGAGAGGTTAAGCCACTGGAGTTTAACTGCGATTTTCAGGGGGTGAAATTAAGTTGTTCTCTAAAAGACTCTAAGAGAAGAATTTGAAAAATGTCTTTTGGCATCCCCTAGTGGTCGAATCAAAAAAAGACATGTTGACTGATGCCAACGCACACAGCAACACTGTCTCTGACGATCCACACTGTTGGAAAACAACAACAACATAGACTAGAGCAGTTTTCACTACAGTTGTCTCACCTTTCTACAAAACCATCAAAATAATTTTGAAGATCCCATAGTTGCATAAAAAAAAATGTATGTGCAGTGGCTTTAAAAAAACACAAACTGAGAAATACCTGAAGTTTAATTTTGTTCTTTGAGAGTAGATTGATTTTCATGTATTTTCTACTAAGGTTTTTAGAGTATGATGGAGTTTTAGGACCAGTGATGGAAGAAAAAGGAAGTCTAAGATTGGAGAGTTAAGACAATATATTGAGAGAAAAGTTGTATTTTTTTATGAAAAAGTTATATATGAAAGAAATATATATATATATCTATAACAATTAGGTGGTTATTGATGAAACCCTTTAACTTAAGGTAATCCTCATCCCTTATTTGACACATAGAGGCTGACAGATTGTGCTGATCTTTCAACTACAACAAAGAATTTGAATTTCATAATATTTGACTTTGTTCTGAAAATCCTATAAAATAGATAAAATATAATCAATAAAAACAGGTTAAATGTAGAAAGAAAATTGGACCAGCGAAGTAAGGATGTAAAAGTCATACCCTGTATGAAGGCCTGTTCGAAGGGATCAGTGATACTGAGGAGGTCTCCTCCCTGGTTGACACAGTCAGCTCGAGCCTCTGCCCACGTCCTCATCGACAGGTAGTTAAACAGGTAGCAGTAATCATTAAAAGGGTCAGCCATCCAAGAACCGCATTTCTGATTCCATCCTGTAACAAATACAACACACAAACAACCCATATGTGCGTACATCCAGATAAATACGCACATATTATCCGTCTCAGACCGTACATGAAGTCTAATGATCAGTGTAGTATCAAGTTAACCTGGTCCAGATGTTGGGGGCTGGGGAGGAGGTCCTTGTCCCTTGGCTATAGAGAAACAAGACAAAGAATAACTAGAAAATACTGTATGAATGTAACAAGAGGGGTATGAATAAAACATTAAGGGTAACAAATGAGAATATCAGACCTTTTTTGCAGATGAATTCCTTTGTGGAAGTGCAGGAATCATCATTGAGTTTCCCAGGCGTTTGGTGATTCATCCCTCTGAGGTGCACACAGTCCTCATTATTCTGCCAGTTATCTGGCTGGTTGGGCCCCCACAGAAGGAAGTCCTGAGATCCACAGAACAAAATAGCTCAGGCCGAAATGTTGCTCTAACATGAGCAGTTACACAACATTGTGTATAAAGAAACATCGAGGAAAGAACAGGATATTCCCAAGAATCCCAAGATTTTAAAATATTTGCGATTATGGAGATGGTTAAGACACATTTTGAGACTTTTGTACAGTGTAACGAAAAGAATTATGAATTAATTTCTTAGCATTAAAACGGCTGATATTATTTCGGGCTTCATCACTTACTGCAGCACTTCCATCGGTGTATACAAACTGGTTTTCAACATTGATGTCATTCAAACCCACCCAGGCCTCTGCTGGCATGTAAGCTACAGATTTAAGAACAAGAATAGCAATTTAATTTAAATTTCAAACCACATATCTATGTTTATATAATTCCTCACTGAATTATTTCATAATGGATGAACTAGAGTGCTCTCTTTGTCGCTCACCAGTCAGGAAACTCAGTTCTTCCTGTGAGTGGAAGCTGGCCAGGTGACCCTGCTCGCTGTTACAGTGAGCCTCAGCATCTTGCCAGTTTTTCACTGACTCAGTCTCAAAATGATAGCAGAAGTCCCCATACAACAAATATCCAGGGTCACAGTGGGAATCTGAAGCAAACGATTTAAACGTTATTGACAAACCTTTAATATGACAGAATGTAAAAAATGATTATTAGTCCAACTGACCAGGAGTTGCAGTCGGTTTCGGATTCTGTCCCCCTGTCATCTCACAAATGTAACCCAGGCTCTTGAAGCAGTTGGTTGTTTCCCACTTGCCGTCATAATTTCCTGGAAGAGAATTTGAACTCAGCTGATGTTGGCATCTTGCAATGACAGCTTCAACTAAAATGATATGAAAGTGGCACTTTACGTTTGAGGACGGCAGCGTGCATGTCCTACCTGTGAAGATCTGTCCACAGTCCCAGACATCTGCAGTGTTTCTGGGCCAACCGGGACCATAGTTAGAAAACTCAACTGCGGATTTATCCACCCATTTGAAATCTCCATCCTGGCCCATGTCTGGTAACATCACAACACCGAAGAATTAATTCACAGATCACATTCACTGTAATGATAACATGACACTTTTTCTATCGTTTCATGGTAAACATCAAGACATACAGTCTGTAGAGTACCTGATAAACCAATCCAGATGTCAGGAATGTCTACTTGGTGAAATTCTGGAAGTTGCCCATTTATGAAGAACTGTTCTTCTTGACTGCACACGGGGAACAGTACAATGACACACTGAATTGTGCTTCATTTGCATCAGCTGCTTTAAAGACACCATCATCAGGTGACCTCACTAAGTGTGAATAGAATGGGACCACAAGCAGGAAACATGCAACATGTCTAGTTTTGCTTTAAAAGCAAAATGCTTTTCATTTTGTTCTTCCCTACCTGTTTATAATCAGCAAGTGGGCCCCCATATCAGAGCACTTGGTGAGGGCCTCGTGCCAGGTGGTCAAGAGATTGGTATTACTGACCGTCCAATAACAGCTGCCAGCGAAGCTCAACCAGCCAGCAGGGCAGATGGCTGGAGGTGAGGCAGGGAGGAATAGCAGGAAAAGATTAGAGGCAAAAAAGCAAAGAATTCGCACAACATTATTGTACTACTGCAAGTAAATATATACTGTAATACCATATTTGCGTATTTCTAAAACAATCCAGCTTACTGTTCAATGGTCGTTTACACATGTAAGGACGCTCATATCTGCAGACATGGGACTTCCATTTCCCAAATTCATCTGTTGCATCTTTGATTATTGCACCGCATGTGCCAGTCTGTGTATCACTGTCAGAGGACACAATATTTAAACCATGATCGCACAAATGAATAGCTACATTTAAATGACACGTGTATGACATTATATCTTACACTGTAGGTTCACCACCAGCCCAGTTTGTGTAGCCTGATGAGGTAGCATCAGACCAGGTAAACTGGGAGTTCCCCACTTCAACTTGACATGAGATCTTGTTGCATTTCTGAAGGAACAAAGTTCATCTTCACGTTGATGTATTCATATCCAATATCAAATGACAAAGAAATGGGAGTTTCTACTCAGTTTTCCTCTCACCAGTGTGGAAAATCCAATCCAGATGTCAAACCGTGATGGGTCCAGTGTTCCTGTAATGTATTGCTCTTCTCCTGCAGAGACGATGGACACCAGATCTCCTCCATCCTGCACGCAGTCATGTCTGGCTGCGACCCAGCTCTTCCTTGTGTCTGCCTTTAGCTTGTAGCAATTGGAGCCGTACTGCCTCCACCCGTTGGCTAAGTCACACTGTGGGCTAGGATTGGCTGAGGATGAAGAACCAAAATATATTTGTGCAAGTTTAGAAACATTATCTTGTTAATTTAGAAAAAAAAAACAAGAAAAATGGAACGTAAGAAATATGAAAAAAAAAAAAGAAGAAGAATTTTGGTTGCTCTAGCATGAAAATATTTACAGCTTGATCTTTGCTGTTGTTAAAGGTGCTCTGTGGAAGGTTTCTGTTTACCTTCAGTGTTACTCGCCAAAAAGCACTGTGTGTATCTTTGAGGTCTAACTGCTGCGGTAGCTTTAGAGATAAAGTAAAGCCACTATACTACAACGTAAATAGTTGGATAAAAGGGATTAAAAAAAATGAAAAGAAGAAGAAGAAGAAGAAGAAGAAGAAGAAGAAGAAGAAGAAGAAGAAGAAGAAGAAGCAGGAGAAGAAGAAGAGGAAGAAGAAGAAGAATACACTTAATAGCCCAACAGCAAAAAACAAATTTAAAATTCTTAACACTATGGACCCCACTGGGCAGACTTACGGTTGATGTGCTTGCAGATGTATTTCCTCTTAACATTGCAGTTTTCGTCATTCCATTGTGCAAAGCTGCTTCCTACCACCTGACCACAGTCCTCCCCAGGTTCATCGCCCCAGTTATCAGGCTGGCCTTGCATCCAGTATCTTAAACAGTAGGAAAAAAAAATCAGTGAATCACACTTTTATACAACTCTGAGTTTAATGAATTTAATGTTTTTGTGATAACAGTATTACATACGATAGATATGGTATAAAAGGACTCCCATCGCTCCACTCCCAGACACCTTCTGTGACTTGGTCATTCAGGCCGATCCAGTAGTACTCTCTGCTGATTTGTGTTCTCACCCAAAGCTGGAAATAACACATAAACATACATAAACCCAGTGTTTGAAATGATAACAGAACATTTATCAAATCTTGCCGCTCTGTGTGTTTGTATGTCTCACCCTCTCGTGAATGTCCTGAATGCTCATCAGGTTGCTGTTCTGCCCCAAACAAAAAGCATTAGCCTCCATCCATGACTTTGTGTCAGTTGAAAAGAAGTAACATTTGTCCTCATACTCCCTCCAGCCTGGCTGACACTGGCAGTGGGCTGAAAATACAACCAAAACATGATATTATTAATTGCAAAAGATGTAACACAGCAAAGTAAATGTGTGAAGCAGCACATTTAAATACAAATACAAAAGACTAAAGTTACTCCAAAGAAGGACAAGGGCAGAGTGGCAGTTTTAACCTTGAATCTCCTTTTAGAAGAAATTCCATTCTCAATACCTAATTTTATTTTGTCTTGTGTGCCTAATGTGTGTATCTGGTTACTCCATGAAGAAGAGAAGTGATTTTGTGATGTAATTGCAGTGACAGGTCATTCTGACTGTCACACTGCTGTTGTAGTTGCTTCTTTTTTTTGCTCAAATTAAGCTCCACACAGGCCACAGTTAACTACTCACATTTCAGTTTTCTTGGGTTTTAATTTAATTTAACTTACGTAAAACCAAGTCCAAAGCTGTGGCTGGTTTAGGTCATTGATCTAGGTCTGCTAATATAATGAAAATGTTTGTGGTTAGAAAATCCAACCACTAGAAAACATAAAAACGTAGTTTGAAAAATTGTTGCTATTCCTTCAGATTGCAGAACATCGTTCAGCCAAGAAGAAGAGCAGACTAAAAGAAATCTGATTACTTTTCATAGATGATTGTTGAAAAAGTTACTCAGTTGATGAGTTATTTCCCGAACTGGTGAATCATTTGAATGCACATCAATCATAAAAGTCCCATGACAGATCCACAGTCCAGCCATGTCAGTCAAATCTCCACACCTCTTACAAATCTTTGGGTAATGTTTGACTTTAACAAGTTTACAGACAATATAGAATCACATGTTTTGCACACATCCTCACCGGGTCGAAAGACCACAAGAAAACTGAAGCAAAGTTGAAGCGTTAATCGAGAGTTTACCACCTCACCTGAAACAATGCACTTCTGTGCAGTATAAGGCTTCTGAAACATGATACATCAAACACTGAAAACCTGCTGTCAGTACACAGTGCACACTTAAGACTTGGATGTCTACTGATACAAAATATTTTAGTATTTAAAATATTCTGCAAACCTCTGCCACTTAAACCATTTAAGTATACGTAGAGTATTTTTTCACATTTTCAGATGTGATGTGTAAGCAGTTAGTAATATACTGTAGACTGGTTGAAAATTACTTGAACAACAAAGTTCAAAAGGTTTAGTCTCTTATATGATACATTTTTATGATTGACAATTTCTTTTTTCTGATAAACCTACTACTAACTGTCTGGTCCATGTAAAATAAATTTGAAAAAAACAAGTAAATCTTGACATCCATGCTTGAATATACTGGTCTGGTTACTGTTTTTCCATGTTGGAAATGACTGACATGATTTTTTTTTCTACCTGTCTTTTAGTTACTTTTATACCAAAACTAAATTGAGGCAATATTCTCATAATCCCCTTCCATTCCAGGCCACTGCTGTCTCACTTCAAAACATAATTAAAATCAAGGTCAGCACTTGCAGGTTTGTGCTTTGACCACCCCATGTTATCACAAATCCCTTACTCAAGGACCAAACAATTAAAGCAACAGATAATCAAATTAAAAGGAATTAGACTTACAGCAAGCAAGAAGAGCAGCAAAGCTGAGCAGCTGCAGAAGCATTCTCTGTCTTCTGTCCATTTTTACTTTTCTGTATTCACCTCTAAAGGTGTGTTTCTACACATCCCAATAGCTCGAAGTTTGTCTCCAAACTCCCCGAGCCTGGCAGTGTGATGTGTGTGTGTGTGTGTGTGTGTGATGTGCTCCAGCTCCAGGTTATCAGACCTCTAAGCATCTCCTCTTTGGTTCACCTCTTTTCAGCATCCATCCAGGGTCCAAAGACTGAAAGCAGTAAAACACAGATGACAAACACTTGACATCTTGACTCATTCTCTACATTACAGCCTCTGGGTGTTTGCTACTGAATAAAGATTTAGTGATTAAAAACAAAATTAAAAAGTTTGGCTATTTTGATCCCACCATATATTAAGGATAATATTAAAGATAAAACATTTGACAGCAAGAATAAATAAATAAAATTTATCCTTGTAAAATGGACATTTTCTAAAGGTAAACAAACTTTTTGTAATGTTCACAATTCAAGAAAGAATGGGGTTAATTAAAAACTCTCTTGGAATTACAGTCATTATTTTCTTCTACCCATCACTTATGGCTGAGTGCATTTTAATGCACTATAAGCACTTTGAGTTCACTACAATTTAAGTGTTATAAAATGTACTTACCTAATCAAAGCATTTAAAAGGCTAGGCAGGTTTCATTTGAAAATACTGTGCACCCCTTTCTTACATTTACTAAATAAAAATTATTGAAAATGGTAGACGTTATGTGTAAGCTCTGCGGTATAGAACTTATACCACTTTCTACATGATGATAATACAAACACTCAATAGGTTTCAGAGTTTGTTTTTTTGAACATGAGAAACTCTCAGCATATGTAAACAATATGTGAAACCGTGTGGAGCGTCATGCACTTTAATAACCTTAATAACAGGAGAGTGCAAGTCACATTTGACACAGTGACACCACAAAGTCCAGAAGATACAGTTTATAACAACCACATGCCAAATGACAATAAACTTTATAATGCCAAGCCTCTGCCTCAAACTGTTACTTTTTAACACAGTTTAATAGGATGTTACAAAACAATAAACATCATTTTGACATCAACTTCTCATTTATACTATTTTTATTATATTGTTATATTGCTCAGCAGACACTTATGGATCTTAAGTGAGGGTCAGAGCAGCTTTTTCACAACTAAGAGGCATTAACATTAACTGGATTGCTGAAGGGTTTTTCCTTTTAACCAGTTCTGAGTTCTCAGTCAGTCCTGAATGAGAGGAAATATTCATAAATTATTACAGAAAAAAAGAGGAATTCCACCAGTGAACCTTTACACATAACTTTATTGTACCAATTTATACCAATACCATGTGAATAAAAAGCACAAGATGGAAGCAGTCGGGAGGAAGAACAACACAAAGTACGGTAAGGTTTACAAAAGACTCTGTATCTAGCTCATTTGCTAACAAAGTTGGCAATAACTTGAGTTTTGGAGTAAAAATGTTTGATATTATTAATGAAGTGGGACACAAACTGTGCAATAATATGTATACTTCTAGTATAAACCATATATAGCATTTCGGTTTTGAAGTCATCAGCCTATTCTGAAAAACAAATCTGTTGCCAGAAATTATTACATTTTTCCTAGATATGGCAGATATAGGAATTGAGTGTTAAATAAACATCTTCAAACTCATAACATGAATAACAAGAAATTCTCCATTCAGGACAAAAATATACTCAGACTTCATATCTATTCTAGGAAAATAGTGCACAGCAATGGATTAGATAGTATAGTAAAGGATAATACCAAAGATACACATATTTTATAATACAAAAATGTCCATATATTAAAATATAACAGAACCATCTGCAGAGACAAACCTCAGCTGAATCTCATACACATCTGAAAACTCTGACTAGGATTACTGACAGTCCAGCTATCGTCAAACACAAATCTTACATTTGAAAATCCGCCCCTGTCAGTTTGAACAAATCTCAACACAATAATGTAAACTGAAAAAGAACTGGAGAGGTTACACCGTATTGCTCTGATCAGTCCTTGACTCTCGGGGATATAGTTGTCAATCCTTCCTCAATTCTGGGGTCGAGGTAAAGGCGGCTGTGACGCGTTCATTTGTGTTTGGCACTTGCATCAGTTAAATTCCTCAGATGTGTCGCCTCCTAACCAGCGACTGATTTGTCCAGTCGGCCTTAAATGATTGTTCAAACACAATTACACGTACATCCCAGCTGGGACCGCTCGGGTATGATCCAGTTTACTGCAGCTGGAACTGCTGATACAATAGTTCTGAAATGCACCCTTTAAAGTCAAACTGCCGTAACGGATGCTTTCACTTACCCTGGGAAAAGATCACAGGAATCTTGGAAATGAAGTTGACATCCTAAGATCCTACTTGACACTGACTGATGAAAATGTTAGTGATTTAAATTTTACGTGCTGCACGGCAAACAAGGTGTCGAATCCAGTATGAATGCTTTTTTTTTTTTTTTTTTTAAATTTACTGATTTTTCACATCTCTCCAGATAATGAAAACAACTGCAGAGCAAAGAGCAAAGAGAAATCCAGAGATGGTCTTAAACAAGAGACATTTGAATTATTTTCATACTGGCCCACTAAATAACCCATGTTCATTATGTGCGCGGTTAAGTAACCTAGTAGTTTTGAATCCAAGCTCACCCCTCATTCTCAAGAGGTTAGTATTAAATACAAGGCTCAGCTTCTATTTTCCCTTTAAAAAAGTCAAAACTATGTCAAGGCAGTCAAACAAAAGAAAATACAGTACAAAATACTACATCACTGATTGCAAATAACACCAGCATGAGTCAAGAATAATGTCTCGAATGTGTCAGAGAAGACTTCAGATTTGTCAGATGCACTTCAAGTCAGTAAAATCTCCCTAATATTCCTCAGTCACTGAGTGCAAATTGAACATCAGCTTTTGAGGCTGTTGTTCAGACATGTGTTGACAGTAATAATGTTGCTGGGCGAAATCACTCTGTCACTGTCTGTGTGCTTTGTGTTGCGTGTGCTTGTGCAATGATCAGATCTGATGGCGACCTGGCAGTCAGTCACCTGATAATTAGTGGAGCGGCGGTCACATGCAGTTGACCACGTTGCTGGAGCCCTGGCCAACGTCCCTGATCTGGCTGACGTGAGACAAACAGACAGCCACTCCGGCTCCGGCACGGCAGTGAGACACTGAACCCACCAGCTCCCATCTGAGCAGCAGACAGATTCAAATCACAACACAATTATGAGAAGAAGACATAGTAACAGTCCTAAAAAATACTGCAGTATCTTGAGCTTGGTCTGTAACTGCAGAACTAAAATGATGTCAAGTATGTAGCAGGTTGAGTAAAGTACTCTGCCAGAATCAGGAAAAACTAATCACACCTGGATGAACAAGTTCTAAATGTGGGCTATGTTTGGGGTACCATTAAATTTCCTCTATCTTTAACGCTCAGATAACATAACTGATTTTATTAGATGAAGACCACACAGCTCCTCTTTACCCTGAAATATTTGCTTGCATCTTTAACTGAGCTCCCTTGGGTAATGTGCATATAGCAGGGTTTCTGTTATTTGTTTGTTGTTTTCTATTTCTAAATGAAGCATATGTGTTGCCAACTGGGGAAGTTCCTCTCTCAGTCACTGTAACATTTAATATTCACACAGAAGCAGAAAAATGACCAAACATAATCTTTCACCAATGCTGTCGTATTGTTTCTAATATGACTGGTTGTGCATAGCAAAAGATTATTTTTTATTCTATTCACCTGTTCATTCGAGGCTCAAAGGCCTCCACCGTGTTCAGGTAGATGTTCCCATTGTGGCCCCCGACTGCGAACACTCTTCCCATTACGGTAGCAACCCCGACTCCGCCACGTGGGGTGGTCAGCTCAGACACATACTCCCAACGGTGCATTCGTGGGTCAAATCGCTCTACGGAGCTCAGGGGTGAGTTATCATCAAAACCACCTTTAGAAAATAACAGGAGAGACAATTTTTAAAATCGACAAGAATTTTAGAGATAAAAGTCATCTTCGAGCATTTTGTGAACAGACGGTTTCACAGTTGTGAACACTCGGTTTCTCTGAGTAGGATTATCCTGTTACTAATAGAGCGGGCAGAGAAGAGGATTTCATGTATCCATTTTAAGCCACAGTCATTCACTAGGCAAAATGCCACAACAAAAGTTTTAGTGAACCTTGAATGACTCTTCAGATTCAAGTGCTACAATAAAAAAAAAAAAAAATCTGATCCTTAAACTTTATGACTCAGCTTCCAGACAGCGTCACAAAACATGAACGTTTGCCTTTCATACATTAGTGTATAAAGTTGTAGGATGTGCACTTAAGGCATGTGACAGGTGTATCAAAACAAGTACCCACGTAAGAGGAAGAAACACCAGTGAAATAATCACAAGTCAGTAATTTTAGTCACTGCAGTAGCAGTAATAGCAAATGTGGACAAAATACATCGTAGAACTGCTGTGAACGCCTCAGACGAATTTTATCTGTCTACGGTGATCAAATCTGAGGAGAAGAATATAATTGGTGTTTGGAATCGAACTGCTTAGATTATTCATTCCTCTCACCCACTACATAGAGGCAGCCATTCAGTTTGCTGACTCCATTTCCAGCCCGTCGCTGGCCCATCTCGCTGACCTCTGTCCATTTGTTGAGGTGAGGGTTAAACCGCTCCACACTGGACAGTGATGCCACGCCATCGTTGCCTCCCACTGCGTACACGAAACTCTGGAAAGAAAAAGATATAAAGCAGTAAAGTGCAGTGTAGATATTATATACCATATTAGTCAAAAGTTACTGGCTTTCCTCTTCAGTCTTACCCCCAACGCCACAGATCCCACTCCTCCTCTGGGCGTGTTCATCGGAGCCACTGCGCTCCAGCAGTCACTTTCGATGTCGTAACGCTCCACGTCGTTGAAGCAGGAGTTGTCGTCCAGCCCTCCAATAGCATAGATAGGACCACCAAGAGCTGCCAGGGCTATACCCCTCCTGAGAAACATTTACATCCTTTCTCAAAGCAGATATGATGTGCCGTTTACCCAGCACTCTCAGTCTAGTAAACAGACAGTGTATGGGAAATGGTACACAGGAGGAAATTCACGTTCAGATATCAATCCATTTCTGAGAATTTCCCTGAGCTGAAAAAGGAGGAAAATCTTTTAAGTCAACAATAATGAAATCAATATTTAGGCCCAACACAGCAGAATTTTCAACTCTAAAACTAACAGCTGCCAAAGACTAATGAACAGGACGAATAATTTCTAGGCTTTCAGTATAATCATTACATTATTACATTTACTTTGTCCAGCTTCGTGGATCTGGCTGCAAGATAATCCGACTGGCTCTGGCAATTTTTGGCAAGCTCCACTGCTGCTCTGCAATGTCTGTTTAATTTTTCAACAAGCACCAGTGAAGCTAGCAGTCAAACAGTGCCAGTTCTATTAAGGAAAACTGCAACAAGATTTTCATTTGCTGCTCAAAATGAGGGATTACATAAGAAGCTGGAGGCTGGAAAAAATTGGCTTCTTCATATAACTTCCAAGCAGTGCATCATGCCATTGTTTGCCAAGACTGGCGTTTTCGGATCCATACAGTCTGGATACTGTTCTCTGAAAATCAAAATTGTTGGGTGTGAAAAGCACAGACTTAGCATTTTTTTAGTCAGCCATGTTTAGTGTGACAGCACATTCTCCGGGAATGTTAGCCAAAGGAAAAAAAAAAAAGCACTATTCACATTCAGTATATTGTAGTATGGTGTACCTCTTCGTGTTCATCGAGGCTTTCATCATCCATTTGTTGGTCAGGGGGTCAAACATCTCCATGTTTCCTAAGTGCTCATTACCATCATGACCCCCAACAGCATAAACCTTGCCTAAGAAAACAAACATCAAACAAATATGAAGTTGAAACTTCATAATTGTGTGAACAGACCAGTGATCCCAAATGATCAATGGTTCTTTATAATGTGAGACCAAACTAATTCATCTTTTTAGACTAATAAGTTATATTTTCAGGTGGTACTAATTTCATATCTAAATGATCTAATAAAAACTCAAATATTAGTGTATTATTTAGATTAATACAAAATGTCTATAATATCTGTCATTATATTGCCACATGCTTCTCATTTTCTAAGCCCTACTGTTCACCTTTCCATGCTCTGTTTTTTACTTCCTGTTGCGTTGTTATATATAACCCTTCTTACCTCCTACGGATATTACACCCACGTGACGCCGTCTGCTGTTCATTTCAGGGCCGAAAAACCAGCTATTCTTAGTGATGGAGTAGCACTCGATGCTGCGAAATGGGTCGCCAGAACCCCCCCGGCCACCCACACAGAACAAAACCCCTGAAGAAATTATGAGAGAGAACAAAAAGTTGGCAAAGTGAGAGAACACACATTAAATGTTATGCCTACACAACCTCAGAATTAAAGAATTAACATAACATTTTAAAAAGATAAAAGCAGTAGTTATATGTTCAAAGCCCAACATCAGCATACAAGTACTACCTGCAGTGTGTTTCCGGGGTATGGTACGGATTGAATACTCAAAGTCAGGCACCACCTTGTTGCTGAGGTGGAGGTGGTAGTTCCTGGCTTCGTCCATCAGGTCCCGACAACTCAAGTTACCTTTGATCATCTCGTCCTTAGCCACAGTTCCAGTCAGGAAATCTACAGGGAGCAGGGGGAGGCGCACCTGAAGAGGAGACCAACATACTTTATAGTGTACTGCAGGTGTAAATCTCATTACATAAAGGTGTCAACATTGGGTTTATGTAATGCTAATTTCACACACAGTTCTGTAGCTAAAACTTCAGTTAATGAGTAAAACAGGACACAACACATAGCTATTTGCTTCCAAACATGAATCCAAAACATGTGGAGGAACAACATTAAAAAGATAAAACATTCAGTCCATTAAAACCATCCCCTCAGGATCAAGAGTTACGCACTCTCTAACCTGAGACATGATCTGGTCCAGCCAGGCCTCGTGGTGCTGTGGGTTTGCTTTCAGCCATTTCACCGCTGCATTGTACACCTGCGTCTCTGAGTGGATGTTGAGCTCACTGGAGGACAATAACGTGCGCAAGTGCTGGGGAGAAACGCAGGTGAAGTCCTCACACTCCACTACCTCAATGAAGTGCTCGCAGGCATAACGGTCAGCCATGTCCATCAGGTCCACACGATTGTGGCTCTCGGCAAAAGTACGAACTGCCAGGCAGTTGGTGGGGTGAAAGTGGGCCTTCATGTACTCACAGCAGGCTCTCGCCACCAACTCCACCTAACAGATTCAGGCAGTAATAAAAACATTTTAGACATTTTCTCAGTGTTTAACAAACTGAAACTCTGTGAAATGAGAAAAACTTTTTATGACGTTTCAAAGTGCTTAATAAAGGTCTGAGCATCACTATACATAACCTTTCTCTGCACATGCACAACTTCCTCATTCATGTAAAATAAGGAAAACTAAATGCCTGTACTGCATGTGTGTCTCTACCTGAAGGATGCAGGCAGCATAAAGCAGCGGCTGGACATTGTCCACAGTTAATGTGAGTTTGGAGGAGTAGGCAAAATGCACCAGATCCTGGATGGCATCACCATCAAAGTCCTTGATCTCTATCAGTTCCTGTTTGGCCTCCGACATCTCTGACAGGAACATGGCCCTGAGGGAAGAAACATCCACTTAAACAAGAACAAACTGAAATACCTTCTTTAGTTATCTGTACTTAAGTCTTTAAGAGACACTGGTTTCCATTCATTAAATGTGGAGGCCTAAGCAGTACATGTACTTTCTCCTCAAATGGTTAATTCAATTTTAACATTTTAGTTCACATTGAAATATCATGATGTTTTAAAGCAAACTGTGATATTTTATTGGTGTATGGTACAGTATCTTTATTAACTTGTGCTCAACCTATTGTGTAGATGTGATGTATGTTTTTTCCAGATGTTAATGTACAAGAGGGAACACCTACATTTCCATATAAGCATCTTTATGTAAGTGAGCTAAAGAGAAATGACAAAATTCAGTCTTTAATTTTTTCATGACATTGGATCCTTATCCAACGTTCAGGCTCAAGACAGTTTACAGACAGTTCATGTTTAGTCAGAACAAAAAGCATATCTGGCACATGATATTTAGCATAAAGAAAACACAGCCATAGACCAACAGGTTCAATTAAACTATTATGGCAATTCAGTGTTCACTAGTAAGATAAAACAGTCTTATCTGTCTGTGCTGCACTGAAAATTGCTTTTATAGGTCTAGTTTAAAAAAAATGAAGGATAAAAATGGAACATACCTGAAGTAAGGGATAACACAAGCAAGCACGAGCTTGTGGCATGGTATCAACCTACTGCCAACCTATGAAAAGAGATAAACAGGAATGTTTAAAAACAGGCAACAAGGCACACCCGCATACTGTTCACCATGTATTTATTTCCTCAGTATGACCATTTAGACACAGTATCGTGATTTCTGAAGCTATTTAGAGATAGAAAACAAAAAAACTCTCAACTCACACTCAACTTGAACTTTAGATTAATTAAGGTCACATTCATAAGATATTATTAATACAATCAAAACTATCACCCTGACATTACTGAAAACATTAAAGATGATCAGCTGTGACAAAAACAAATCCCATTACTCGAGTCCAGACAGGGTGCCCTACCTTCAGCGTGACATCACAGAGCTCCCCCACTTCGTAAAAGTGCCTGAGGGAGTTATGGAAGTCCTTCCAAGCCTCGTGAGCCTCGAAGACAAAGGAGCCATCAGGCTCACACTCTGCTTTTGATGCCCTGTTTCCAGGCCGCTTGTCCTTGGACTTCAGTTGCTTGGCATGGTCTGGCACCACATCCCCTGGTGCCATAGCTGGCTACAGGAAACAACACCTATAAGAGAGATGAGAGTGCTGAGGAATCTGAATACCTAGTTAATAGAGCCATTAAAAGCGTAAACAAAGACATTTTGTCAAATTGCTGAAACACTTTGTCAGCAGCAATTCTGACATTCAAGTCCTTTTTTAAGTTAAATGACAATTATTCTGTGATTTCTGCATCTCAAATCACAAGATTTGCTTCTTTTCTCAGATTAATATAATTTTAAATTTAATATTGTTGGTGAGAAAAACAATAAGTGGATGTCTTTCAATCTGGGAACTTGCAATTGGCATCTTTCACTATTTTCTGACATTTTAGAGTCTATACAAATATAATAATCAACAGATTAATCAATAACAAAAAACACCTTAGTAGCAGCGCTCTCTGACCCAGTGTAATTATATGGAGAGGTTGCTTACAACAATATAGAATTATCACCCATCCCCTGCAGTAACAAGCAGGCTGTATTTTAACTGCCTTTAACCGCATTATGCAAGAATAACTTGCAGTCTGAAAGAGAAACCCCTACTCAGTGTAAATAGCATTCCACAGACTTAAATGGAGGAAACAAAAGGGAAACTGGTGGTAGGGGTTATTGCCTGGCAGCTGAGCAAGTTTGGTCAGTATTCCTCCCCCTTTCAGTGTCACTTCCCCTTTACTCAGTTAGCAAAGACTGGACCTAAATGTGAAATAAAAATAGGACAAGCAGATTCCTCCAAGCTAATGTCGCACACTACTCAGAAAACACTGCAATTAAACCCATAAAAATTCCTACCTATTGCTGAGTCTGATGAAAAACTGCCACAGACGATAAGTCTGGTTGAGAACGGATGAACTGAGAGCAGACAGCCAAAGGCCACAGCTCCACCCACACCTTACAGATGATGCACTGTCTCTCTTTTACGCTATGCCTCTGAAGCTGAATAGACTCAGTGTATCGCCCCCTCATCACTAGTCCTCTCAGCTATAACAGCAGAAAACATCAAGTCCCATCATAAGCACTGGGGATCAAAGGCTCTTTCCACTTCTGTTCTGCTCTGCAGGCTCGTCGATAGGTTTCATCTTTGAGAGACTGTTTGCTTTCTCAACACATGTAGGGATTTTGTCATGTTCACTTTCATCAAAGACACTCTGGATCAGTTGCTTTTATGGCCTTAAGATGATAACATCCTCCGACTACAATATATTATTTATGAGGAGTACAGTGAAGTGAGATAGTCAATAATTTAACAACAGAGATGTATTGCACAACTACTCAACTCCACTGAGTACAAACCGAAAAACAATAACAGCAACCGCTTTAAATCCATGCAACATTTTTCTATGCATCTGTGTGTGTCCATCATACAAAGAGGGACTCCCACTAGACAACCAGCATGCCACATTAGGCACAAAGGTACACAGATGACAAGAATGAACCCACTGTTGTCATGTCATATTACTTCACCCACTTCCAAGGGGACACAGCAACTACAGCAAATGCTGCCAAATGCTGTGCTTCCATGCTTTGTCCTTTGGTCACAGTACAGAGACAGTAGAGTAACTGCCCAATTAATTGTTTTTTTTCCTGCACACTGACTTGATTACTATATTTCCCACACCACATTTGAAGAGAAGAGAGTCAGCTTTTAGATTTATTTCCCCTTTTGAATAATAATGAATTTATTTTTTTTCCGATTACATGTCACATATGCATGTTTTACTATCTGCCATTCCAAAACTACTTGTTTGTAAAATCTCATATGCAGCTCACTGGTTTATCTTGCTCCTCTCTATATGTCTGTGGTAGAAAGTGAAAGTAAAAAAAACATTGTTAGTGTCTACAAGCATTTCGATTTACTTTTACTGCATGAACTGAATACAATTTAAATCATTTCGGTCAAACTTATCTAATTTTTTAGCCCTAACTGATCAAACTAGCCCTCATTGCTCCACCATGTACCAAACGTGATAGTACAGGTATAAAATTGTGCAGGCTACTTCTTCTTGAACATGCTAAACATATGGCGCATGATAAATTTTGTATATAAAGAGGCTTTATTAGCTGGAGACCGGGTTAGGGAATACCTGGACAAGATTTAAGGAATGCAAATATTTAAGATACCCCTTATACAATAAATATACATAGTTGTTTACAGTAAACGATAGCTAGCACCTTCAGATGTCATCTAAAATTATTTTTGACATCTCGATTCTTTCTGGGTACAACAAGAAAACGTAGATATATTTATTGCAGCAGGAGTAGCACAAACTATCAGGCATAACAGTCGATACAAAGCTGAAAATACCACCAACATGAGACCACACGTTAACAGTTTGAGAAACAAGACGAGCTAGGTTTTCAAGTGTTATGAGTGGCTGAGCAGTCACTTTATCATATTCAGTGCTGACAATACTCATTTCTCAATTAGAAACCATACAAAATAAAACATTACGGCTCTAATAAACATGAGAAATCTCGCTAGCTAGCCTGAGAGTATATTAATGGTTCGCCTGCTAGCTAATAGCAGCTAGCAGGCAGACTAGCATCCATCCATCCAGCTAACGTTGACGGGCAGAGAACTGACACGATGTTATCATGAATTAAGCGAAAATACACAACATACAATGGTAAAAGTGACTATAAAACACTGGATAATCGGAGTATATATAATATAATATGTTTAATTTAGATACCTCATGTCGCAGAGAGAATTAAGATGCCGGCTTCATTGAGTGGAATGTTTGGCATTAGCACGTTTGTTGTGATTCCAGGTGCTTCATGGGTATTGCAGTTTTAAAGCGTTAAAATGCTATTTCTGAAGAAATTGTAGTGTGGTTGCTGTTGGCTTCTGCACAAGCTGAAGTTAAACTGCGTTGCTGGCTTGAATTTGTATGAAGAAGCATTTGAAGTATATTTTGCGATGAGACAAAAGAAAAAGGGATGAATGCAAACTGTAGTGTAATTGTGAAAAAAGTTTAAATGTGAGTCATATTGTGTGTGTGAGTGAAAGTATTTGAGAGCTATAGTTTCTTTACCAAGATTTCACATTGTACAAATATAAAGAGCTTGTAAAATATAATGCATTGTTATATTATTATTATTAAATTACCTAACAGTAGGCCTATACAAAATTAGAGGTGAAATAATTAGTCAATTAACCAATCAACAGAAAATTAACTATTTTAAGAACAGATTAATTAAATTAAGGAAAAATTGGTTAAATTGGTTAAATTCTTAAAATCTTATATTACAATAAACTGAATCATTTTGAGGTTTGACTATTGGTCAGACAGAACAAGCAATCTAAAGGTTTGGGCTATTTTCACAGTGTGATATTAGTACTATTACTGAAGTGAAGGATCTAAATACTTCTTCCACCAATGGTTATGAAGAGTCTAGGTAACGTGCTTACTGTGTTATTGCTGCCCCAACCCAAAGCAAAAATAAATGATCAGCAGACACCTGTCTCTTAAACATTCTGAAACATCATCACTGTGTAAAGTTACAAATTCTGTAATTAAACCACGTTTAGGCAGACAGACACATACCAAATAGTGTCACATTCTTCATTTGACAAACAGGACTGCGGTTTAGATGCAGTTAATTTTGTTTTTGTTTTCTGTCATTTAACAGGTTTTGGTAAATAACAGTGGTGTGCAAAGTGAGGCACTAAAGAGAGTAATGTGCTGAGTAAGGAAATTACAATTGTTACATAACTATATTGGCCAATAAAGTCTTTCCTAAAATTATACATTAACACCATCTTCACATTCTGAGTTCTATTTATTGTACATCAGTGCAGTGTCTGCATATTTCTACCATGTAAACACCAAGCAGAAATACTGAAATCAAGTCATTAATGTGGGGTGATTTTATACTTATACTTGAGTTTTATAAATATATGAAATGGGATTAGATCGGAAAAGTCCTGGTAAAAAAATAAACAAATTGAGTTTGAAAGGGAAAGTTTATGCTCTTTCAGTGCCTGTGGCCTAATATGACACAAATTCTACACTCACTTTCATGTTCATAAAACTATTTCATGTGCTGCCTGCGAGGAGTGTGTATGTATGTATATCCAGATATATACACCATAATTAAACAGGTATTTAGTCTTCTTGTAATTTTATATGTGACCAATGAGAGGCCATTCATAACTGGAAAGAGCGCAAGCAGTAGTAGGAGGGACTGAGTTTCAGCATGAAGACAAAAAAACAACAAGGACTTAGTGGTATATGAATAACTGAATATTGAACATTCACACAGTTATCAAAGATTATTTATTTCAGCATGATGTAAATCTATGCAGTTCATCCATTGAAAATAATACATTTATAAGCCAACAATGTTTTACAGGTCACTTGAAGGATGTATAATATTCTTTGACATAGTCAAAGATCAGGTTTGTGATGGCCATTGGACAGCCAGCATTATCTCCACGTATCCTACTTGTGCTGCTTCCTCTTTTTTAGGAGTGCATCTCGTAGAGCAAGCTGGATAAGAAACACAAAACAGTTTTAGTTGAAATGTAAAGATGCAATGAAAATCAATTCAGCCATGAGCTCATTGTGACATATGCTTCTTACAGTTGCAGTTGTTACCTGTTTTTCTCTGAAGGAGCGTTTGCCCTTGGTCCTCACGTTCTGACTGTGTCTCATCATCATGAAGTTCTTCGTCCTCCTCTTCTCCTTGTTGCTGGTGCTGGCGTGTGGGTTCAGCTTGGTTCGCTTCCTCACAAAGTCCTTTCGGTCAGTACGTCCCGCCTAGAAAATCAAATGCATCATTAGAACTGAAATGATTAGTCAGCGTAAACCATTTTAATGATAAAAAAAAAAGATGTAAAAAATCATCTGGTTTCAGCTTCTCAAGTGTGAATATTTGCTGGTTTTTGCAGTCCTCATGATAGTAAAATGAATTTCTTCAGGTATTGGATTGTTAGTTGGACAAAACAAGTAATATAAATATGTCATATGGGCTTTTAAAATATGTTATTTGCATTTTCTCCCCATTTTTTGTTACATTTTATAGACCGAGGATTCATCGAGAAAGTCAGGCTACTGTGATTATTTGCAGTCCAACACAACACTATATACAAACTACCCATGAATGACTTTCCACCAGTGTCACCAGTGTTTCAGCTGTGTTAAGCAACCAATGATGTCACTGGATAAGTAAACATAAGAATACTTTAAATCATCCAACAGTTAACGCCAGGTTTTACCATTGCTGTTGCCAGGCGTGTTTCCTTGTCAGCTTTTGGTTTCTTGTGCAGTTTCTCAATATTCCGCAAAGTCAGCAGCTCCCCTCTGAAGGATTCAGAAAAAAAAACATACAAAAAAACCTCAGTATAAGGAATATGAAATCTGAGAGTAAATTTTGTTTCTCTTAAAATGTTTTGCAAATTATGAACTCTCTAAACTCTGGGTTCAAACATCTTTCTCACCTGTTGTCAGCCTCGTCATCACTGTCCACATTTTTCCTCTTCTGGCCCTTGCCTGGCGCGGCGTTGACCTCCTTGGCCATCTGCACCAGACGGATCTTCTTGAAGTCATCCTGGGTGAGGAGCCTGCTGCCGCTGACCGCCGCTGCCTTGGCTTTTCTTTCCTCAACAGGCATACTCTGAAGCTTCTCGGCCTTTACACAACCACAGAAAACTCTTTCACTTAAACAAAGTCACTGTGCATAAATACCCTCCAGCAGCTCATCGAGGCCATGCATTTTTAACTCTAACCATTTCTCCTGTGTCTTCATCAGATGAATGGTGAACGTCCACCCACTCCCCATCGTCATCGTCATCGCTTATACTGGCACTCTCCCAGCCGTCTGTTGTACAATATGAAAAGTTCTCATATTAGCGTAATATCGATCATCTATCACCCAAGAAGACAGATTTTGCAGATTAAATCAGACAATGTCATCCAATTTTATTGATGCAATAAAAACATAGCTGCAGTGCTGACCTTCGTCCTCCCCTCCCTCTTTGTTCTCCTCCTCCACCTCCAGGACTTCAGCTCCAGGGATGTAGTCCTTCGCTTCAAGCTCTCCGTAGTCTTTGATCTTGGCCTCCGCTGATGCCTCTGTGGGTCGCCCCTGCACAACAAGAAGCATGGTTTACAATAAGAGATGTAGTTTCTTCACCGTTAGAGTTTGGCTCTAGTCCCAACACTCTCCTCTGAAGTAGTAAGAAAACAAACTGAATCAGACATGTATGAACACAATGTTTTTTAATAATACAGTTCATACAACACTAGTTCATTATGACAGCTCTCTAGCACAAACTCACCCACTAGGTACAATATACATAAAGAATATGTCTAAAATCATTATTTTTAAAAAGAGCAATGCTCCCATCTATTACACAAAACATACTCATTGATGTTAAATCAGATTTTTTAATTCACTGAGCTCACCCTGTCCCTCTTGTGCAGCATCTGTGGATTCAGATTCCTGAACAGCTGGATCAGTCCCCTGGCAGACATCATCACATCTGAGGCAAGTACAGACACAAACAGGTTGTATGTGAGTGAAAGAACATACATGCACACACCTGTTAATAAGTGCAGTCAGCATTGTGACATAAAAGTACAGTGGTAAGAAAAACGGACCGGCAGTCACTCACTCTTGTCTTTGTGGATCTTGTACTGAGCCAGGTCCTGCAGCAGGTCTTCGGTGATGGCGAGTGGACAACGGGCTGCCACCTCCTTGATGGCATTAATACTGAAGCACAAGAAGAGGACAGTGAGCATTGTAGCTATAAGTATACGTGTGTATTTTTAGTTGAAACAGGTTGACTTTTCTCCATATTGTTCTTCACACTGTGCGTCATTTTAACTTTCGTGAGCTGTAACCAAGGAGGAAACATGGCAGCTACTTACCCCACAGTCATGACCTCCCCAGAGTTTCTGTCCGTCACAAAGTTATTTGCGATGGTCATGATCAAAGGTTCAATGACCTGCACGAGTGGGAATAAACAGTGTTAACAGCGCTCAAGTGAAATCCTTGTGTTAAACTGACTCACTGAATAAATGTGTAGTTGTTAACCTACGTCAGGGGGGACGAGCTGGTGGGAAGCCTGGGCGGCACACAGGAGAATCTTTGTCACTTCTGCAAAGACAACAGATGGTTTTAAATGTGTCATAAGCACAAGTCAAAAGACTTTCACTTATTTAATTGTGATTTTTTCCTTACCTCTTTGATGGGGCTGAAGAAACCTCTGGATGAAGGGATAGAAATTGAAGAGGAAGAGCTGTTGAGGGAAAAGGACACTTGAGTATTACACTCAAGAGAAAATATTTTATTCATACCTCATTTATGTTTCTCTTAAATATATCCCCACAGCTCAGGAACACACTATTATATGTCCGTTTGCTAATAAAATAATGTGTTAAAGAGAAAAAACAACCCAAAACAAGTGAAAAACAAGTGTAAAAGATGATCTGGATAGAAGCACATACCAGCTTTATTAGGCGTGACTTACTGCATTCCTCTTTGCATTAGAGACTGTTTATTTATTCTACACAAATTTATCTATGGAGTCACCAACGTGTGTCCAAGAAACATGATTGGTCATTTACCTCATGGATTCCAACCAGTCTGGATATGAGCTCCATCATCATGATCTTCACCTCGAAGCGCTCTTTAGAGTCTTCCAACTGTTTCAAGAGTTTCTCTGAGAAATCTTTACAAATGATAATTGATAGTTCACAGTTCTGTAAATTATAGTACAAAATGACCTTAGACAAATTGTTTGTGTGTTGTTGTGGAGAGGAC